AGCCATCCCCGTTTTACAGCCAGGAACCTGGAACCTCTGAAAAGGGGAAGTAACCTTGGCTGAGGTTAAACAGTGAGCAAGGCAAAGTGGACCTCAAGAGTAGGTCAGGTGGATTTGACAGCCATGTTCAACTTCTAGCCAACTCTCAAAACATATGCTGGCTAACCAGTGCTAGAAGCATCCCCAAAGGGAATTCTGACCTCTGTCTTGGCCTTCCTCTTCCTCCTTCCCTCCTCAGCTCCCTACTGATCAATTTTCCCTGGAACTACAAGGCAGTTACCCCACACTGATATGATGTGGTCCAACAGAAGCCCACCCCCCCCACACCGATTCTGCAGCCTTCAGCTCATCTGAGCCCTAAAACACACTTTGAAGTCGCCAGGGACAAAATTATTATCCCGTTGACAAGAAAGAAAAAAAAAAATCTAGCCTAAGCTGGGCAAGGCTGGCCATCTCTGGTTTGTCACCCCTAGAATCTAGTGCCACTCCTCCAGGACTGGGAAGGCTGGGTGGGGATATTGCTACACAGGCCTTCATAACCAGAGCCCGCCTATCTGGCTTCAGGATCCTGTCCTCAGTGCTATAGGTGGGAATTGGCAAGGGTCGTAAAAGATGCACAAAGATGTCTCTGGGGCCACAGCCACTTCCGATCCACTAGTGTGGTTGCTGCACTGTACTGAGCGGATCAACAAAGGAGAATAGTTGAAGTCACTCTGCTATCAAGGAGGAACAAGGTGGCAACAGTGCTACCTCCATGCCTTCCCAGGGCATGTGGAAGAAGACAGAACCTCAGAAACTGCATCCCTGGGCATTAGACTATGAGCCAAAGCCAACATGGAAGGGTTTCCCACTGTGGCTGCAACGCCCAAGGAGGAAAGGTTCTGGAAGTACCTGCAGCTAATCCCCAACAAGAGAGCAGGAATCTGTGTCTCTAAAGTCCATCCCTCGGAAAGCAAGACAGGTGCTACCCACAATACCTTGCATGCCCATGAACACCCAACTCAGGACTGAGGGCCTCAAGTTGCCTGGGGAGCACCTTACACTCCTTAGGTCAGCCAAGGGTGGAGGGAGTGGGCCCATCTGTGGCCGGAGCTTGAGTCTTCCCTAGTGGAGCTGAAGGGCTACAGAACATCCTATCCCCAAAAGGCTATTTTGAGCTAACGGCAACCGAAAAGAAGCAGACACAGGGAAAACCCTGCCTTCTGCCCATTTGCCTAAAAGCAAATAAAGACATTTACAAAGTCCCGTTTCATCTCTACCCGAGGGACAAAGGATGGTTGCAGAAATCAACGTCAGGCCCTTATGGGCCCCAGAACGGCACCACAAAATGTACACAGCAGAGTTTCCCCTGAGCCTCTGTCCACCGTTAGCATCCCATCTCTCTTCCCCAAACCAGCTGTCCCTAGAGATCCAAGCTCCTACTCCTCTGTCTTGTCACCTCTCTAAAACTGTAAACTTTCCGATGAAGACTGCCTAGGAGAGTATTCCAGACTACCCCAGAGATTGTCATCCTGCCCAAATCCTCCTTCATTTACTACTGTCTGCTTCTCTTGTTCATTTGTCTTTTGTTGGGTGGGAGTGACTGGCAACAACACAGAATGCTGGGAAATGGAGTCAAACTTCAACCTCAGCCTCTCAAACAACAGATGACCCTGTTAAGGTGTCACTATAGGAACGTGCTCCTGGGAGGGCTCTCACTGACCCGGCCAGTCCATTGGCCACCGTCTAGGCTCCCGTATTCCATCTATGTTGGAGGTGTCCAGTGCTGCCAAGAAATTCTGTGACAGAGACGTAGGGCAAGAGTCTAGGGTCCCTTCCTCCCTCTCCTGAATCCTTCTCTCCTCTGCTGACACTGGCAAAGATCCCGCATCTCTCTACTCATGCTCTGTGGGGCAGACAATGTCAGGCTTCTCAACTACATCCTACCAGTGGTGGAGGAAGGTGGAGACTGCCTGGCAGACACTCCCACTACCCGTTCCTGTAATTTGATTTCAATTCAGAAACCACTGAATGTGGCATAGGTGACAGCCTCCAGGACTAGAGGGACCATGGATCATATTGCTCTGGATTCTGCTATGGGCACAGAGGTTTTTTGTTTTGTTTTTCCTTTTCCTGGCACAGAACTGCCAAGAAAGCAATGCCTTCTAGTCTGGTCTGGTGCGGCATCCTAACTCGCATGAAGGGTGAAGTCGGAGCCAGGAAGAGCTTCTCCCGTGGCATCCAGGGAGGGTGGCAGAGGAACAGAGCATCAGATACCACCCCTGTCTTAGAAAACCTTGCAGCCTTCTGCCCCCCAGTGAGCTTTCTTCTCCTGGTATCTGCCAGCCCCGCCCTATGACTGCTGGGTCAAACCTGGCCCCCTACACAGTACCCTAGGAATATCCCCACCCTCCTCTTTCCAGACCCCAGGGAAGGGGGACTTCCCCATGACTTCAGGAGAATTTTCCAGCCCAGGCTTGCATGTGGCTGAAACCCCACGGGAAGGATGGCTCTCCTATTTGCACCAACTACAGGTTATGTTTTCATAAAGGTTCAGTGGTGTTGCATAGCTAGAATGTCTTCCCCAGGAACCTGCCTTGGCAATGACTTCATGGTGGGGGACCAGCACCCCTCTATGTTCTTTTCTTTGGATAATTCTCTAAGGATATAGCTATTCCCTACAGATACTTTTTTTTTTTTTTAACAAGGAATTCTTGGTAGAAATACCAAGCTGATCGAACCTACCAGAAGTATTTTCCATTGTGTTATATCACATTCAAAAAGATCCCAAGCTCCACTGATGCTCAGTGAAAGCCAAGCTATGATTGATTACTAATGTCTGTCAGTGGAGGGGACGGGAGAATAGTGGTCTGTATGCTGCCTTACCTCGTTTCCTATTTCACTGTAGACTTCCATATGCATGATCTCATTTGATCAGAAAAACACTAGTCTCGGGACAATTACTATCCACTTACAAAAAGGGACATCAGGAACATGGAAGTTAAGTCTCTTCTTAAGTCACTCAAGGCCAGAGCCAGGATAAAAGCCCAGATGTCCTGAGTCGCAGGCCAGCACAAGGGAGACATTTAGATGAGGGGAACACTTGAGATCAACATGCTAAAAGCATTCACACGTCTTTAGGAAAATATGCTTAGTAAATCTTCCCCAGCCCTGCATTTGCTATTCTTTATGCACATGCGTGGGATGCTGGCAGGAACAAAGCCTGTGGAAAGGGGATGGGCTGCCCACGCAGGAGCCGACTGCCCCTCTGCTTGCTGGTAACTGAGAGTAGGCAGGCTTGGCTCTGACTCGCTCCAATTTCATTAAATCAGCAAGGCACCCCAGGAAGTGAAAAGGGACCATGTCAGTAACATCTGCAGGGAGCTACTGTGGACAGCTATTCAGTTGCCATGGAAACCAATGGCTGGCAACCGCTTCAATTTCAAGAAAATAGCTACAAACAATAACAAACATAAATGAAAAAATGGTATGCCGTCACTTCAAAATTGTACCTGTTATTGGATTTTGTTGGGCTTGGGGGCTGAGACTGCAGGCTCAGATCTGTGAATCATGCCAGCCCGGTCCTCTTCAATAATCAAGTTTTCTGGACATGACCCCTAGTGAGGCATTAACCTGCAAAGCTGATGTCTGAAATGCTTGAGGAAAGGGGGCTGTGCCTTGTAAAACAGTAAATGCTAGCTGTCCTGACCCCAGGACAGGAGGCAGCTATGAGAAGGGAGAGGGCTGTGTGATGTTGTGGCCTGCAATTCTTTTATCTGGGGCTCAAAAAAAAAAAAAAAAAAAAAAAAAAAAACCAAAAAAAAAACCCCTGGCAGCAGGAGTGAGGGCTGAGCAAGAAATCTTTGCTTGGTTCTGTTTTCAAGGACTTCTGGGTTTAGAGATGATACTAAAATGGTATAGCCTTTCCCTATTCTCTCAAGTGATTTCTGAGTATACACTTAAACTCTTTAAACCCAATTTGAAACCCAACCCCATGGCTTCTTGGGGGGGGGGGGTTAGTTCCCTTCTGGCAATGGAAACCCTCTGGCCACATGTACTATTCCCATCCTTGTGATCTCCCTGTGTCAGTTGTCAGGGAGACTGCAACAGCCATTCCCAAGGTGAGGGGGCATCCAATCAGAACAGAGACCTCGCTAACTGTGGGCTGGGAAATGGTCCTGCTGAGATCACTCATGCCTCTGCAGGTGGGCTAACTCCATGTTACTCTATCTTGTTCCTGATCTTGTTCTCTGGAGTCATCTATGGAACACAGGGGCAAAGGTCATCTGTAGAGTCTTACTCTACCAGAGTGAGGAACACAATGATGCTTCCTGGACCATAGAAACTCCACAGGATGGCTAAGCCAAATCAAGGTTCAGAGACAGTGACTCACCTACCCATGACCACTCAAGGTAGAAGGCAGTACTTCTCAGCTACCAAACCTCCCCACCCGTGCAGGGGTGTAGGTGTAGGTGTGCCACTGTGCCCTTAGTACCCAAGTCCTGAATCCATGTTCTAGAACTTGCGTCTGGTGGACCCTTTTACAACCCAGAAGCCATTTTCAATGTAAACTCACGCCAGACCTGGCATGGCTCACCCATTGAGAACCTTGAGAGCCCCAAGGAGACAGAGCACCCATGGAATGGAAGAGGCAGCCCAATGACTAGGGAGAGACTGAGGACCCTCACACAAGGCATTCTGGGAAATGCCTAGAGTCTGGGTTGGCTCCCAGGGTAAAGGCTCTAACAAGTGGCTATGGAATCTTTGGGAGCAGATCACATAGAGAATTTCACAGCAACGTGGAAGCCACAAAAAATGCCAGCCAACCCTTCTAGATTTTTTTCGTCAGTGTAGACTCTGATAGGAGGAAAACAGCTCACACCGATAAGACACATACAGATGTCTCATAGCAGAGCTGGCGGGATGCCACTTCCTAGAGATGCCTAGCAGCAGCAGCAGAGGTGCTGGCATGAAGGGTGAAGGGATGGCGAGGGAAGCGGCGGGAGGTGTCCTTGACTCACCAAGCTGTGCATGATGCACACGCCATCTGGGTTCACGGTGAGCGCCTCCTTGTACAGCTGCGTAGCCTCTTCTAAGTTGCCCTTCACCTCAGCCAGCCGGCCTCGCATGTAGAGCACCGAGTGAGAGGTGGGGAAGAGGCCAGAAGCCTCCTGGATGCAGAAGCCTGCTTCCTTGAGGTGTCTCTGTTCCATGAACAGCTCAGCTGTGAAAACAGAGGGGCCGAGGGAGGTGAGTGGTGGTTAAGTAAAAGGCAGTGGCCCCAGCCCACATTCCTGAGCCAAGAAAGCTGATGCTAAGCCAAAGAATCGTGATACTAGCCTACCTTGCTGTGAAGTGTAAGGGTGACACTGGGTACCGGGTTCAAAGTGCCTACTCCTGTCAGTCACCATGCCGGGTAACTGCCACAGAAAGTACCTTCACCCTCACCCCCACTTTAGAAACCCAGAAACACACACACAGAGTAACTGGTAGAGTCAGAGTTTGTGTCAGGCCATCTGACTTTAGACCCGGCAGTGGGGAATAGTGTGGCTCAGGGTTGAATTCATATTTGCTTGCTTGCATGTCGTTGACACATGTTTCAGTGTCTGCCCACTGCATTTGTTCACTGCTTCTCTGGGTGGATGACAGGTGGATGACAGGATGACCTAGTGACTCTCAGTCTCAGCATTAGCTGAGGGACTCACTAGGCCCTGGCATGCTCAGGATGAGGGGCAGAGAGATCTGGGGCCTCTGATGAGGCACACAGCTCAAACCAAGTGGTACAGTGACAAAGCTACCACCTGTATTTAAAGAGGCTGACTAGGGGGCAAACCCTGACTTCACAAGCTATTTTGTCTCATTAATCCTCACAGGTAGTCTTGGAGGGAGACATTAGTAATTACCAGATCTTCACTATAAACAATTAAGCTGAGGTGGCAGGGCCTTGCTCCAGCCCCTCTTAGATCTCTCTCCCTCTCTCCTCTCTCTCTCTCTCTCTCTCTCTCTCTCTCTCACACACACACACACACACACCCTTGTAGCCTGCAGGCAGCATCAGATCCTCAGGCAGATCTAGGGGAAAAGGTGCAGTTTCTCCCATCCCCAGGCAGCCTGCAGAACTGCACACTTCAGCCCTGCACTGCACAGGCGTTCGCCCACCACAGACACTTTTAGAAATGCCGCTCGCTGGCCCACTCTGCCTTTCTTTCCAAGCAGCCCCCAAGGCGCGGCTGCTCCCTCCCGGAGCCGGTGCCATGCGGAAGTCATAGAAGGATGGCAACACAGATGGGGAGCGCGGGAGGCCAGCGGAGTCTGGCTTGTGGCTCTGCCAAGAGCTTTTCCTAGCACGGGCTGAATGCTGAGGTTATGCCAGTTCAGAGCACGTCTGGGGTGGAGAAGGTAACAGACATTTCCAATGGAAACTCCCAGAAAGAGGTGGACAGACCTGACTCAGGCATCCCTTCTGCCTATCAGGGAGACAGCCTAGTGAACTGTATTATGCAGCAGGAGGGGGTTCTTAGGCAGGAAGGCTACCTAAAACTCACTGTGTAATCCAATAAGCTTCCCGCATCCCAAAATATTACAGCATTTGGAGCACATTCTTTTCCTAATGGGGGCTGGGATAATCAGAGAAAAAAATCAGAGTAGCCAAGCTCTCATGCTACAATTAGAGGGGATGGGTTGACATCCAAGGTTCCTGTCCTTACAGTTATCAGAAGATGGAGGCTTTGAGCCAGGACCTCACAGGATAGGGTTGGCCAGTGGTCAGGGAGCTGGCTGTCTCCCTCTCAGCTCCCCTTTCTACTCCCCTGTTGAGCTGCTACTGGGGCCTTTGCACAGGCTGTGCTCACAACTGAGTGTATAATTGCAACCACACTGAATATCAACTTCATGTCCAGCCCACCCATAAGGAAAGAAAACAGGGAAGTGGCAGTGGCAACTGAGCCACTAAAACCCTTGAGAGGTCCAGGACAGGGCCACAGTGGTGTGGTCAAGGTTTTTCCTAGAGGAGTTGGTTCACAGTTGAGCAGATAGAGACAAGGGAGGCCAACCTGCAGGCAGGCTCCACTGTGGCAGAATGTCCAGGGCACAGTGGAGGAGACACAGGTGCCCTGTGAGGCTTAATGCAGGTGGATGCCCAACACACACACACACACACACACACACACACACACACACACACACACACGTTGGGTCTGGCTGACGTGGGGAGTTTTCTGTGGACAGGAGCTCTGAGGAGCTAGGGTCAGACTCTCAATGCCTAGATCTCACTCAGCAGCCCCAGCCAGGCTGGGCCCACTTGGCTCTGTCATGACTCATTAAGCTGTTTACAACTTGCTGCCCTATGCCTTGTAGCCCCCTGGGAGACTGTCCCTGGTCCCCACCTTGGGTACTACTCAGTGTGCTCACATCAACAGATTTCAATTAGTGCTGGGGCTGCCCCTGGGGCTTTCTGAGGCCCTGGGCCCAGCTGAGAAGCCACACCCCAAGGAACACTCCCTGGGAAGTGGGCTCCTCTGCTCTCTGATGGGTCTCTTTACCACATAGGACGGAAGCCAGGTGACACAATCCAGAGGCAAAGAGGCAGGCCTCTGAGGGCTCTGGTCCAGGCCCCTTGGCAAGGCCTCGGACTTGAAAGCAGCCACACAGTCCTGGGGGCTTCAGTGTGCCATGTCTTCCTAAGTTCCGTGTCCCTGGGCAGGTGCCCTCAGCTACTGCTTGTTGTTTTACCAAACATGGTGCTCTTAGCCAGTCAGCCAGCCAGCCAGCCAACCGGCCGGCCGGCCAACCGGCCAGCCACCAACCATGTCTGCAGCAGAAACCTGGTGGCATGGTGCCCACCACTGCCTGGATCTTCCTCCCCCAGACCTGGCTGTCAGACCCGCCATGCCCACACCCCATGTGTTCCCCTGGCCAGGGCTGGGTTAGTACTTATTACTACTAGCTTAGCCTTATCTAGGGCAGCTAGCAAACCTTTGTTCTAGAATCCCTAGTGTCAAAAGCACATCCCTCCCCCAGCTCCTCATCTCTCTTCCTCCCTGCCACTGCCTCAGCCTCCTCTTCAGTCTGTTTCTGGTCTTCTTCCTCTTGGCTTCTGGGTTCCCTCACTATTCTCCTCTGTGCTTTCTCTCCACAGGGTACAAATGGAAAGCATCTGCTCCCTGGAGCTTTGCAAGCTTTCCTTTTATTGTTCTTCTCAGAGACATCCTGGCCTCACCCTGTACCCAGAGCTGGTTCCGGTAGCCCCTGACACTCCTGCCAAGACCAGGGCTCTAGGCCCCAAGGCTGGGGGCTAAGTTCACTCTCTAAGGCCCATTGCCACACTCTTTTGCAACAGGGAGGGTTTGTCCTCAGGCTGGCCTGATGCTGAGAAGCAGGGGGCCCTTCCAGGATCTCAAGGCCTTCCTAGGACCTCAGAAAATAGAGGGAGCTGTGCAGGACCTTGGGACAGCAGAGAAAAAGATGAGGATTTAAAACAGTGCTGCTCAACCTGCAGGCCATGACCCCCAAAGACCCTTTCATGTCAGAGATTTACATCACAGTTCATAACAGTAGCAAAATTAGTTATGAAATAGCAATAGGATAATTTTATGGTTGGGGGTTTCCACACATGAGGAACTTTATTAAAGGGCTGTAGCATTAGGAAGGTTGAGAACCACTGCACTAGCAGGATTCTGCCCTTCCTGGCCTTGATCTCCACCGTGAGGATATTTTAACCCATATCAAAGAGGGTAAGCATGGCTCCCGTGAAGCAGGCCCTCAGAAGCTGTGGGCGCTCGGGACAAAGGTAGAGGGGAAAGGACTGTGGGAGTGGGGTAGAGAAAGGTCAGCGGGTCAGAGAGAGACCCCAGCACTGAGTCCCAGAGAGCATGGCTGAGGTGGGGCAGCCAGGGCCCAGGACCGAACTGGTCCCAACTGTGGGAAGGAGGGGAGAGGAAAATGGTAGAAGAGAAGAGGTCCTTCAAGGTACCGAACACAGGAGGAGCCAGCAGGGTAGGGGCCCGGCAAAGAGCCAAGGAAGACAGGAAGTGAATGAAGAGCAAGGATGGATAAGAGGAGGAGGGTTGAAGCCAGGTGGCTTTTGTGACCCTTTCCTATCCTGTGCTGTCAACCTGGCTCTGCCCTGAAAAGCGGGGTCCCTCCTAAGAGCTCTGTTGTAACTTCAGAGTAAACATCAGCCCAGACACACACACCCAGGGTGGCTTCCACTTGCAGGATGAGGCCCCTAAAGCTCTCTCAGATAACGTGCTGACTGGGGACCAGAGACCAGGTCCACGTCCTACAAACCCAGAGAGAGCTGGGAGCTGTCCAGGAGTCCTTGGACCTCTGGGTCAGGGGAAGTCCCCATGTTCATACCCCTTCTCTTTGGTACACTGTAAGCTGGCAGAGATGTTATCAGTAGTGAGAAGAGGTTGTGTGTGTGTGTGTGTGTGTGTGTGTGTGTGTGTGTGTGTGCGCACACGCGTGCTCGAGAGTCCTCTTATGGAAAGGGCCTCTCCACACTGGAGATTCTGGAACACGCTTGGGCCTGGCAGCAGCTTTCTCATTCTCACAGACCCAATGCCTAGGAAGCAGGGCCCCTACCGCTCACCTCAGTGCAAACCTTCTTGGAAGCTGGGGAGCTTGAGGGAATGGAAGGAAAAGGTAAGTGCAAGTGTGGGAGAGAAAGGGCACAATGTTGTCAGACAGAGGTGTTTCACAGTGGAACTTACTGGCCAGATTTTGCTGCAGTTCACCCTGAACCAAACTCGGGATTAGCTCATTCAGAAATGATGAAGAACCCTTTACCTCCCTGCACATTCAAGGCACCTGTTAGCATTCGTGTGTGTGTGGGGGGGGTGGGCTGAGGCGGGTGCTGATCACTATATGCTTAGCCTGAGTCAGGTGGGGCACTTTGGGGAGAAGTCGTGGCCTTGGTGACCTCCAACAGGTACTCAGTACATTCGGTGAAGATGGTAGCCCATGGGACAGAGGACACAAATGGGTCCCAACATGTTCATGATGAGGGACCTAGAACATGTCTTCTCACTCCCTTCTCAGCCACGGAAGCTGTGCATCTGTCTATCCCTTGCTTCTGGGAGGACAGACCTCAAAAATTATAGTGAGGCACAGGGACTTGCAGACTAATGCCAGAGTCCTTCACAGTTAGGGACAGTCAGATAATACTGAAGGGTGTGTGTTTATAGTGACATGCCCAAATTTTGCTCCAGGTTCTGAAAGGCCTTTCACTTTCCTTGGAGTTAGTACCAGCACATGCCACTACCCCAGTATAAGGCAATGCACCTGAGAAACCCAAGGAGGTTTCAGATGCATGCAAGTGCAAATCCCAGACACATCTGGAAAACAAAGGCCTAGGGAGCTACAGGCAGGGCTCATGGGTGCAGCCCTTGGAGCTCCCATGGCCATGCTGCCTCCCAGCATTGGCTCTGTTATGCCTCTCAGAAGGTGGGGAGGGCTCCACAGCTCCCTGAAGTAAGCAGAAACATCACTGTCTATCACACCTTCACTTCCTTCAACATTCACTCTCTTGCTGTGCAGCCCACCCCTAGCTCCCTGAGCATCCCGAGGAACCCTAGGATGCTAAGTGGAACAATATTTGCATTATTGCAATACTGTCAAGTCTAGGCTTCCTGTGAATCCTGGTCCATTTTTTTTTCTCCCTCCAGATTCAGAGTCCACGACAAGAAGTGCGGGGGCTGGCTGCATACTAATGTGTCCATATGTGGAAAGCATGCCATGAGTAGCCTTGGGCTCTCATTAATGAGCATTCTAACTCTGACTTGCCAATACCACCTTATCCAGGGAACTGATCATCTATTTCCTATTGCCTCCTACTCCATCCCCCTCCTTGGGGATGATAGCCCACTTCTGTGAGAACAAGGAGGAGGGTGAGACAAACTCAGGGGAAACACAGTCCCGGGGCCCAGTCTTTTCCAGTTTTGGACCAAAGGCAGGGTAGCCTCGTAAAGGTTCAGGTCTCCTCTCATCCTCTTCTGCTCTGCCAAAGACATTCTATTCTCGCTCTTGATTTTCTTTTCCCTGTCACCCACCTCTCCATGGTTATGTTAGCGCCAAACACTTCTCCAGCAAGTCACTCCTTGGCATTTCTGAGCCAAGCACACAATCTGTGGGGCCTCACAGCCACACCATGAACCCGAAAGGCGGTGACAGAAGCCATGTGCTAGCGGTGGAGCGCCCACTATTTGCCACACTAACTGTTTTTACATGTGAGTCATTTCACCCCAGGGGCTAGCCGGGTGTCAGCCACATGGGACTCTAATCCGGGTAACTCCAGCCAGGGCTTCTGGAAACCTATCCCTCTAGTACTCATTTGCCTGTGGGAACAGTGCTGGCTGGGGATCAAAAGGTGTGTCACCTGGACAGCAGTCGCCATGTCTTTAGCTCTCTGGACTGTTTATCCACACAGCCTTTCCTGACCTCAATTCTCTCACATTATTGTCACTAGGAACCTCTCAGGTTAGGGAGGCAGGCAATCTCCCCACGGGGCAAAGAAGAAAACCCACAGCCAGCCAGACAAGACAAGCGGAAACCTCAGGGGGAAGGGAGGTGGGTGATCTTGTTCTTCTGGAATAGTCTCCTGGGGCACCTAGACAAGATCTCAGTATCTGAGTTCTGGGTGCAAACATTCTCTGAGGCAGGGATGGGGGAGCTTACAGGGGTGGTGTGGGGTCAGGGAAGCCAGTTGGGAAACAGAGCTAGAGAACTCAGGAGTATAAGCTGTTGTAAGCCTCATCTGAAATCTCTACCTCCCCACCTTCATCATCAAGGACAAGGCAGGGCTCTCTGGGCATCTAGGGGCTTCACATGTGGGTGGGCATGAGTGGATCAGGGGACACTCACCAGCCTGGAGCCAGATTTGTTCCAGCGTGGTCCACAGCTGCATGGGGCCCTGCTTTAGGACTGAGGTTGTTATGGTCAGTTCCGACATGGCCTCCTCCAGCCTTGAGGCTGCGATAGATGATGCCCTCCGAGAGCCTGCTGAGCAAGAGGGCATAGGGCTGAGTGGAAGTCAGGATACCACATGCCACTGGCCTAGAAGCAGTCAATGCCCAGCACACACAGAGCAGACAGGGCATTCAGGGCAGCTGCCAAAAACCAGCTCATGGACCCTAGGGAGGGTCTTCTGCCCATTCCTCTCCATGGGGAAAAAATGTCAGCAAACGTGCTTATCTCACTCCTGCCTTTAATACGGAAAACCAGGAAAATGACCCAAATGTTCAGCAACATTGAAAATAAGTGAAAGTGTAATCATGAAAGGCTCTGTGTGGCACTGGTATGTGGAGGCATTTGCATTATTTAGGTGAATGGAGACCAGCTCTGTCACAACACAATCGAATTAAAACACCTAAACATGGGTGTGTATGGGAAGAATGTTGGAGAGCCTTTCCTTGGGTGGTAAATGGAGGTGTGATTTTTTTTTTCTTTCTTTTGTGATTTTTGACTTTCTGTTTCCATAGTATACACTGTTTCACATTCGTTAAGACCCCACCCATTTACAGCTGGGAGGTAAAAGGTCCTTGGGCAACAGCTCATGGCTAACCTATGCCCTCAGAGAACCTCTATGGCTGTGGCTTTGGGTGGTGCAGGCTGGACTCAGGATATACAGACTGTTGCCATTTGAAATTCCCTTGCAGGTGAAACACGAGCACTTTTTTTCTTTCTTAGAGGCAATAAAGGCCCCAATAAACTCAGAGGCCTCGAGAAAAACCAGAGATGACCGGTTTATGAGACAAGAACATGGGAAGCCCTGACAACAACACAATTCTTCTCTCTTTAATTATAAGAGCTCCCCCCTCCTGCCCCAACATGCCCTTCCTTGGGGACTGTGGTTCCCCAAGCAGCCAGGCACCCTTGCAGTGTGTCTCTGGAGTCTCTGGGTTTGGCTAGTGAAATACACTCCATCTCTCTTAACAACAAAGCACAGCTTAACTCACCTCCCCAGAAGTCGGCAGGGATAAGAGCAGCTTTACCAAGTCCCACTCCCTTCATGTTTCCATCCTGCGACTAATTTCTCTTGTGTCATTGAGCAAGGTGTTCTGTTTGAAGCAGGCCCTTGACTTAAAGATGTATGTTTGTAATTCCTGATCTCATTTGTATTTCACAAGCCCTGAGTTTCAGGGTGAGCTTTTCCATTAAAGAGTCAAGCTTGAGGAGCTGGAGAGATGGCTCAGTGGTTAACAGCACTGACTGCTCTCCCAGAGGACCTGGGTTCAATTCCCCACACCCACATAGCAGCTCACAATTGTCTGGTTCTAGGGGACCTAATACCCACACACAGACATACATGTAGGCAAATCACCAATGCACATAAAATAAAAATAAATAAATAATTTAAGAGTCAACCTTGAGCTTTGAACTGAAATGAGCTCAGCCCATTCCATTCTGCTTGTCTCCCCCTGCCACCCCCCCCCCCCACCCCCCCCCCCCCCCATTCAGACACTGGGAATACTCTGGCCTCTGGCTTTGGCCTGAGGGGCAACAGTCTCTGCCCAGGCCAGATTTCTGTCCCATTCTCCTCCCCCCTCACTCTGCTTAGGAGGTATGGACCTTCTTCTGTTGCCCACAATGGGTAGCCACCACCCATCCGTGGGCCAACTGCCAGCCCCACCCAGAGCCAAGATCAATCCCGATCTTACCGGAGTCTGCGTCATGAGCATCTGGCAGGGTCAGGTGAATGCCATTCTGTTTCTTCACTGTGAGGCCTTCAAAGCTACCATCCCTTTCCAGGCCACTGGAAGGCAAGGGAGGGCAGGACTCCATGATGCAGAGGACCGGCATCCCCAGAGCAGGCAGGGAGCATGAGGGAACCCCATCTCAGACTCTGAGGCTAAGAATTCAAGCTCAAGAAAGAGCTAAGCCAGAATGACAGGGAAAAATAAAGACAAGCAGGACAGACAGACCAGCATGGGTCCTGTAAACACAGGCTGACGCTAGGAAAACGCCACAGTATCTATGCCCTCTTTGAAGGTGAGGACTCTACCTCTAGGCACAGGGACTGCTGGATGGCTTCTATCTAAGGACAGCCTGGGCGAAGGTCCAGTTGCTACACTCAGACTACCGGGCAGCCCCAGTGGAGTTCCAATCAGAGTGGCAGGCAAACAAATGGGGTGGTCTCATTTTGTTTTCTATCCATTTGTCTAGGTCCCTGCATCTCCCACCCTACTGAGGGGGGGGAGAGGAGGCTTTCATTTTTCTCAGTGCAGGAGGTGGGGGAGCCAGAAGGGAACCCTTGCTCAAAAAGGCAGCAGCTGTTGCACTCTTGGCTAGCTCCATCCCATAGCCAAGGAAACTCAGAAGAGTCACTACAGAAAAGGTGCCAGAGGTGTCTTCCTGTTGGGGGTGCACTAAGATGCTGGCTCCACAGGCAATGGTACCACAGTCTAAGGTGTCTTTGTGGTCCTGACTCCGCTCTGGTTCACACTGGCCCTGACTTGGTTTGTAGATGCTTAGCCATCGTGAGTGGGGTTCAAAGAAAACCATCTCTCCAAGAATAGCAGATCAGGGATGGTTCCTTTCCTTGGCCACTGGGGTGGTTTGAATAAGAATGGCCCCCATAGGCTCATATATTCAATGCTTAGTCACCACAGAGGGATGCTATTTGAAAGGATTAGAAGGATTAGGAGGTGTGGCTTTGTTGGAAGAAGTGTGTCACTAGGGGAGGGCTTTGAGGTTTCAAGACCTGCCTGTCTGCCTGCCTGCCTCTCTCCTCTCTCTCTCTCTCCCCCCCCCTCTCTCCCCCTCTCTCTCTCTCTTGCCCTCTCTTTCTCTCTGCCTGTGGTTCAGGATGTACCTCTCAGCTACTGCTCCAGCTCCATGCATGCCTGCCTGCCTGCCTGCCTGCCCCCTATTGTAATGATGATGGGCTAAGCCTCTAAAACTATAAACAAGCCCTCAATTAAATGCTTTCTCTTATAGGGTTGCCTTGGTCACAGTGTCCCTCCATAGCAATACAACAGTGACCCAGACTCTCTTCCTAATCCTGGAAGCCCCTGAGTGGGAAATCAATGAGCCAGGGACATAAGGCTGAGATGATGTCCTACACCTTGCCGCCTCTCTGATTTTCTCATGGTCCTTCTGAAAACAAGCACAGGGCATGCAAGCAGGAGGCTCACAAGGCTACTAACAGACAGTGGTATGATGCCACCTCCATCCAGGAGCGCATCATACTTTTTCTCTTCTCCCATTAGAGAGCCTCTCCTGAGCCACTGAAACAGCCTGTCTTGGGGAGACTGTGCTGCACAGTTTAAGGTTAACATGCTACATGTTACTTTGAAGGACAGGGCTGAGTGGCTGCTGGGTGGCAGTAGCTTCATGAAGGAGAGATTGCCAGCAGTGTGGTTTGAGCAGAACACAGGGGCGTTGGGTGGCAGTGGTGCAGGCTGGCTAGGTCCGTGGAGGGTAGATCAGACCCTCATGCTGTAGATCTTGGTCTTAGTTTATGATTGCCCTAAATTAGATTTTACAAGCACTAGCTTCTGGTTTATGGCTCTAGGTTTCAAAGAAAATTCTTTTCTGTCTCCTAAGGCAGCCAGGAGGGACTGGATCCAGATCTGTGGGCCAAGCAGTGACCTGGCTGTGTCTGGCTGTATGTTGGGGTGAGGGAGTTGTGGCAGTTTCCTGAAGAGGTACTCGGCATTCTCAGCTCCACCAGCCTCTCGGGACAGACTGGCATATGTGTGTGGTGACCTGGAACATCAGGGTAAACTCAACTGTCCCTGCCCCTGTGAGAACACCTGGCAGCTCCACAGCCTGCTGCTCTGAGTCAAAGCTACCACTCTGTGGGGCCTTATCTAGACTGGCCACTTGGATGTGCAGCCTATCCACCAGCCCGATAAGGAGCAGCCAGCTTCAGGGCAACTCCTGTGCAAACTGAGCCAGGCTGTGAACCTGCTCCAGCAAAATGCATCTGAATGCAAATCCACCTGTATCAGAGAATGGCCCTTGGGCTTCCAATGCTCATCTCCAGGGATGGTGTGAAAAATCCATCACCCACAGCTTTCTGGAAGTTTCTTTTTTTTTAAGATTTTATTTATTTATTATATATACAGCATTCTGCTTTCATATATATCTGCACACCAGAAGAAGGTACCAGATCTCATAATGGATGGTTGTGAGCCACCATGTGGTTGCTGGGAATTGAACTCAGGACCTCTGGAAGAACAGTCGGTGCTCTTAACCTATGAGCCATCTCTCCAGCTCTTTCTGGAAGCTACCCACTAGTTCTGCCCTGCTTTGGAATCTTCCAGGCCTGGTAGATTCCCTGGTAGTCAGGGAAGGCTAACTCTGTCTGAGGCTTTTGACTCCATCCCATTTCCCTGGGTCTCCTCTGGTTTCCTTAGGAGAGAGGTTCCTCTAAGGAAAATGGAGGACTTCTAGCTTCCCAGAGTCCCTGTGTACAGGCTCCATGGTCTGGGACTCAGGGCTCACTTCACAGTACTGTCATCCAACAGGTAAGCAACTGGCAAATTGGACAAAGGCTCAGGATCTCAGTCTCTGATAACACAGAACACATGAGTGGTTGGTGTGTCACATAAAGCAAGAGGCCCAGGACCCAACTCACCAGGTCAATCTTCTAACCAGGTCTTTGTGTGCGGTACAGAAGACTGCCGAGGGATTAAAACTGAGCCGAGAATACAACCCTCAACACTGAGTCCTACATCTCCATCCAAACCAACAACCATGTTGTGTGGGCACTGTGGCCTTTCAGACAACTGCCACCTGCCAACCCTGTCCCCCACCCCTGCCCTGGGGCAACCCAAGGGGCAAGGACAGCACTTACCCCAGCTGAGAGAAGTTGTAGAGGGTCTGCCACAGTCTCAGCATTTGCCTGCAGGTCACAAGGGCTTCCTCTGGACCCTTCAGCACCTGCTCCAGTTTCACCTTGGTGAACATCAGGCTATGGGGAATGCGAGCCACAGTCAGCAGGTCCTGGCTTTCCTCCAGGGGTGGGGGGAGATCCCCATATGCTCACCACCTCCCCAGCCCACAGAAGGCACGGCCTCTGCCACACGCACTACACATTCCTCCATGCCTCAGTTTCTTCCCATCTTCATCCCAAACCATGAGATATCTTTCAGCGGTTGCCAGTGCCTGCCCTGACCACCCTACCACCCAACCTTGATCAGGAGGTATCTCTCAGTTGTGACTCCCAGCCCTGCCTGATGTGCTCTGCCCCTACAAGCTGAGCTAAGCAGCACCTTGAGTCCTACCAACATATGGCCAGGATTTCTACTTCTGTGCCCAACAAGACACAGGACAGAGCCTCGGTAAGAACCACACTTAGGAAACAGTTTTTTTATCTCGTGTGTAGGGGTGTTTTGCCTTGTATGGATGTCTGGACCACACTCCTGCACTCAGAAAGCAGCTTTGGATCACTACCTTGAACACATCGGCAAGGCCAAAGCATTTAACCCAGATCATTAGCACTCTTGTTCACTAAGGATTAGGAAGGCGAGGGAGCCCTGCTGTGTTTGACAGTGCTAGCCTTACCTTGTCAGGGAGGTCCACCTGTGCTGGAAGAGGGGGCTGGGCAGCATTCAAGTACCACAGTGTATTGGTGTTTCGAGATCAGCACACTGGCAACACTATTATACAGGAGCTACCACGGCAGTGTTTGCAGAAAGCTGAACCACCCAGATCCATACAAGGCTGGGGCAGAGTTCCCAGAATGGTCAGCGAGCAGTGAGGCCCCTTGATCCACTGCCACCACTGCTGAAATGGACCACTGCATGTCATAGACTTAGTCACTGTCAGTGCTGAAGCAAGGCCCATGTGGCCAAACATGCCTGCTCCAGGAAAGCTGAGCTGTGTATTTATAGGCTCTCATGTAGCCTTGGATTTTCTACAATTCACTATGTAGCTGAGAATGACCTCGAACTTTGGATCTTCCCACCTTTTCCTACCAAGTGCTATGAATGGAGATGTTTGCCATAATGCCCATATGAACAAAACTTCTCAAAAGAGGCCGAATCTGGCTGTGAATGGGAACTCCTGAAGGGAATCCATTCTCAGAGGGTGACTGGCTGATCAGAGTGTTAGGATGATGGAGACTGGAATACTGCAGGTCCAGAGTCTAACTACCTGATCTTAGAATAAGTTTTGGGCCCCCTGAACAGCCATTCCTTGCCCACATCTATGTTGGAACTAACATCTTGTGATAGTGACTTAGCAAGTAATTAGCTTCTACCAATCCCAAAACCAAATCCCCCATCAGATAGCACCTTGGGCCTATAGAAAAGCTTCCCCTATCTTGCTGTCCCTGCCTCTGACTTACCCTCCAGCATATTTTAAAGGTGCCCGAATTTATGGCTTTCTCTGTTATGCAAAACTCCAAAACATTTTAAAATGGCTTCTACATTGGAACATGGCATTTGGGATAATCTAAATTTGTGTTCCCGGGACCGTGGTCTGATGCGGGATGTCCTTCTGTAGACTGCGAATATGTGTTGCTTCTATTGGTTGATGAATAAAGTTGCTTTGGCTTATGACAGGGAAGAGTATAGCTAGGCAGGAAAGCCAAACTAAATACGGGGGAAAAGAAGGTGGAATCAAGGGAATGCCAGCAGCTGCAACAGGAGTAAGATGTCAGAACATTACTGGTAAGCCACGGGCCACATGACAATATACAGATTAATAGAAATGGGCTAATTTAAATGTAGGAGCCAGTTAGTAATAAGCCTAAGCCACTGGCCAAACAATTATAGTTAATATTAAGCCTCTGAGTGTTGATTTTATAAGAGACTGTGGGACTGGGTGGGCCAACACACTGTTTTGTGTGATGTTAGGGATTTACATGAACTTCTTGCATGTTACAAAAGCACCCTATCATTTTTTTTTTTTTTTTTTTTTGGTTTGGTTTGGCTCTTGCTATGGAGACCTGGCACAGCTAGAACTCTAAAGGAGACTAGGCTGGTCTTGAAGTTGTGGATGAACCACTTGCTTCTGGGACTGCAGGCATGTACCATCATGCCCAGTTCAACCTAAACTTTAAGCTCCACTTTCCCTAAGCATTCTGCAACTTTTCTTGAACATCAGCTCATGACCCATCCTCTGTGAATGAGGTCCTGAGGGCAGGAACTGGGCAGAACAGGGCTAAACCCTGAGTGGGGAGCTGCCGCCATCTTTCCTTCCCAGATCCCTGAAGAGCCAATTTCTGCCTCAAGGTAACAATTAGAGTGCACAATAGCACTTAGAACCAGAGTGTTGGGCTGAGGGTGGGGGTCAATCTAAGCCAACCTTCCCTTAGATGGCCAGAGCAGCAGAGTTCTAGGTAAGTTACCAGGGCTGACCAGCCCCCAGATTTCTGGGACTCTCCACAGACAGCCTTCATGGCCAGGGCGCCCTTCTCGCTGCTGCCATTGAGACATACCAAGTCCCAATGTCAGAGCTAGGAGGCTTGGGATAGAGAAAGCTAAGCTGGACAAACAGCCTCTATCAACACAGGCTATGTCCTGCTGGTAACTGACATTCCACTCACATGAGTGACCAGGAGTGGAATTTCTCAACCCAACCACATCCTCACTGGGTTAGGCCAGAGGTTCCAACAATCACCCTTGGGTGTGCGCCTCAGGGTGGAGGGCCTGAGGCTCCAGATTAGCTCCTGAGGAGACTTCCTTGGTGGGTAGCTGGACACTGCCCGAGGGATCTTACAACAGAACGTGTCCTGCCTGATGTCCACACCATCAGGACACATGCAGCGGTGTGGTGGTGTCAACAACTCCTTGACACTTTTCCCTGCTTTGTTTCACACTGTGACCTCTGCTGGGGCTCACCTTTCCCCCTGTCACATCTGGCCAACTCCTACACAGATGTCACCCTCCAACTTTTTCAGTATCTCCATGGGGCTGTGTCTTAGTCAGGATTTCTATTGCTGTGAAGAGACACCATGAAAACTCTTATAAAGGAAAACATTTAACTGAGGTGGTGGCTTATAGTTCAGAGGTTCAGTCCATTATCAATCATCATGGTGTAAGGTGATGGCTGGGAGTATGGTGGCATGCAGGCAGACATGGTACTGGAGAATGCTACATCTTGATCCAAAAGCAACAGGAAGTGATCTGAGACACTGGGTGGTATCTTGAGCATATATCAGACCTCAAAGCCTGCCTCCACAGTGATACACTTCCTCCACAAGACCACACTCACTCTAACAAGACCACACCTCCTAATAGTGCCACTCTCTTTGGGGGCCATATTCTTTCAAACCACCACAGGCTGTATTCACCCCTTCCGGTTAAATCCATTACAATGTCTGGCATACTGGCCTGTCTCGAACTCAGGGATCCACAAACTCAGGTCCATAAAAAACCTGGATCCAGCTCTTCCCGCTAAGACATTTGTATCCAGACCAGAAAATGAACAGATTCATTCCCTACTCAACTATTAAGACAGAGCCCTTGGCATGCCACTGTGATTGGTTGGAGCTATGGTCTGACCTCATCAGAGCCCTGTGCTTCCAGGGGAGCTTCTGGGGGACAGGTAAGGCAGATTTAGCAAGCTTGGCTCTCCCCCACCTTCAGGCCCATCACATGTCACATAGATGAGTCTAAAATGTCTTTGAATAAGTAATTATAAGTCTTTAGGAAAAATTCCAAGGCTCAGGTCCTCCTTCAAGAAGCTCCTAGGTGGGCTGTGTACTCAGTTGGCATTTAATTACATGCCGTGTCTCTCTTGTTTAGTTTAATAATGAAGATAAGTTCATACGAAGTTGTTTTAGCCAGATGGTCCAGGAACAAGTATATGGCCAGTCCTGGTGTAGGAAGGAAAGTCACCATTTATCTCTGTGTCCCCTTGGGTTGTACCCAGCTGGCAAAGAAGTTCTATCAGCTCACTCATGTCCCTAGAAGCAGTGTGCATTGTTTCCCCAGCTCCTGAGTGGGTACCTAGCATATAGTGTGTGCTTAGCCCAGGAGTCTGGTCACTTGAGTTCTTAAAGCTGCAGTGTGGGAGGGACACACAACATCAGGCAGGCAACACACTGGCCAGTTCCATTTCAACCTGCTCACAAATAGGCTCTGACCTCACAGGATAGACTCTGAGGAGGAGCAATGCGCTCTAGGTGTGCCGTGTGGGTCCTAGGTGTGCTATGTGGGTCCTAGCTGTGCCGTGTGGGTTCTAAGTGTGGTATATGATGAGTATCTGGCTCTTTCTGACTGGGGGTGGTAGCGGTCTTCCTCTCTGGGGTCAAAGGCAAAAACGTATAACTGAAACATGTCTGTAAGACTAGAATACCAGAATCTACCAGGCACCCTGGCAAAAGCTATTCCAGGAGAGGGATGGTTAACTTTGATCACATTATTATTAAAATTCCTCCATGAACACTGGCCTGGGAGATGGAAACTTGAACCAAAGTCCCACCTCTGTTGAGCATGTCACAGGTTCTAGACCTGTAAAACAGGAGGGAAATCACCTACTCACATACTCCCCATGAGGCTGAGCCCTGATGAGCTAGGAGAAACCCCAGGGAGGCACACAGCTGTCCACAGCTCAGCCTGCCTGATGCTCAGGGCAGGCTCCTCCTTGGAAGCTGAAACCCTATGAGACTTTGAAGACATTTCTAGGCCAGCTGTCTCTGAAGGCTCTGGCCTTCAGAAAATGCCTGAGTTTCTGGCCTCTTCAATAACTTCTGTAGCCTCCATGACGAACGGGAAAGCATCCTCAGTTGTGAGAAACCTCTTACAAATGCTGGTCCTAGCAGGGAGCTAGAGACAGAAGCCCACTGTCTAGCTCAGCTCTTGAGCGTGTCTCAGGCTTGGGCTCCCTCATGCACATCTTAACTGTTCACCTCATGTACTGTGATAAGGTAAGGTGTTGCCCTGGCTGTGGCTCACTTCCTGCCAAATGGGATCCCGGGGAACTTCGTCCTTTCCAGCTCCTTTTGTGCTCTCGCACGGAGTG